ATTTGTGCATGTGGCTGGGTGGTAGCACGCTTCCCTACCCTGCACGCTGCCCTACCCTGTCCTAGGTTGAATCTAAGTACCTCACACAGGAAAAAAGTGACTCCATGATAATGAAGTTCTATTTGTCCATCTTATCAAAGGATGTTTCAGCATCATAAAACCATGGTGAGGTTCATTACAAAAAAACCCCCAATAACAAAGAAAAAACTGATGTGATTATCTAAATTTAGATATAAATATTTTCTAAACCTCAGTTTTTGTTAATTATTTCCTGAAGGTTTTTAATGAAGAAAAACATCAAAATGTCATTAATAACCCAATAAAGCAAATATACCATAAAATTAGCAAATGTTACAATCAAGGGAGTACATGAATTATTTCAAAATCAGAAATAAATCAAGGATATTCACTGTCTCCACTATGCTGTCACGTGAAATAAAAGCTTCCACATTACCACAGGACATGACACGCAAGACAGACAAAAAGTGACAAAAAGATTGAAGTGAAAGAGAATCTCTATGCATAAGTGATAACAGAATCAACATGTAAATTTTGAGAATAACAACAAGGAGACTATATTGTCAAAGGCAGGACACACTGGAAAAAGTTATAGTGTTTCTCTCACAGTGTTTAATACTCATAATAAAGCCTGGGCCAGGAATGTAGCTCAGGGTAACAGCACCTGCCCGTCAAGCGCCAGGCCCTGAGTTCCATTCTCAGTACCAGAAAAAAACAAACAAAAAAACCCTATGCCAACGCAATGAAGCTACATACTACACAACCAGAACATAAACTGTAAGTAAATACAGCTCCCAAATATTTTGATCTCAAGGTCAGTACACACAAAACCCACAGAGAAATCTAAAAGGCTATTGTTTAAGGACCAGTGTTGAGCTGACTATCAGACAAAATAGAAAAAAAAGTTTTCTTATTACTAGACTCAAAAGTGCAAGAATGTCCCTAGGCCACGTGGATACAATGAACATTTAGGAGGAAAAAGTACACTGTCACAAATACACTTAACTACAAGACTGAACTTGCTTAAAGCTTTTGCAAATCCTTCTCAAAGCTGACTTCAAAGGAGTCAACTAGATGTTCCACCTGCTTCCTCACTCAGTCTCTGCCAGTATGTTGATTAGGTAATGAAAATGCCTCCTCACTTATCATTTAAAGCTAGGACATTAGTGACACCTACAAAAGGTCTCACACTCCACACAGTTTAAAAATAATTTAAAAATTATTGTATACTATTATCAACGAATTCTTTAAAACCTTGCAACATTCGTAAAGAGAAAAATAATACATAGAAATAAAATTGGAGATGATCTGAATACCAAGAGAATCATGTACAGACTCAGATTTGATGATGTGATATGCTACAAATTCTTTATATGCTTAATACAACTATGCTTATAATACAAGTAAAACAACTCTAAATTTAACATACACCTACTAAAATTTCTTCTGAAAAACAAAGAACAGTATTCTATTTTTCAAATCTCAAATAAAAAGGTAAATAAACCGAGATATCCTTTCCCACTATTGGGACTTACACCTAAAACTCACACAACACGGAGACACACTAAATTTATAAGAAGTACCAAGAAACACATTCACTTTTTAAAAACAGATTTGATGAGATTCACAAAACAAATCACATGTACAACTCATTCCTTTACGGTAGAAAACTGCTCATTTTACATGCCAAGAGAATTTGATTTTTGCATCACAAACATTCAAATGTGAATTCTAGGTAGACTCAGAAAATACATCAAATACGAAAGTAAAACATGTAAAAAACTACCATGTAAGAAAATACAGGAGGGAGGAAATCTTCAAAAATAAAAGCGTAAAACCGCAAATGTTAAGGTGACTTTGAAGATGCGAAGGGTAACTTAGGATTTGTACTATATACCACTAGTGAGAGAAATACCTGAATTACAAAACTGAAAGATATCTATCGAATATTTTTTCTTTACTACTAAAGATTTATCTCAGGACCTCATGCATGTTAGACTGGAGGTACGTTCAGCAACACTTACTTCATATTGAAACAGGGTCCTACTCCATTGTCCAGGCTGGGCTCAGTGCTGCAATACTCCTGTCTCAGTCTCCCGAGTGGCTAGGATCAGGGTGTGACCACCATGCCTCACTGATGTTTACTCTACCCATGCGCTGAAATCTTGGTAAATCACAGTGATCAGAGAACCCCAACCTTGAACTGGCAAAATGCCACACGCCTGCCTTCTCAACAGTCAAGGAGGTGGACACAGCATCAAAAGTCCTCCCCAGCCTGGGGATTTAGCTCAGTAGTTCCAGCACCTGCCTCCCAAGCGCAAGGTCCTGAGTTTGATCCCCAGTACAAAAAAAAAAAGTCCTCCCCAGCCCGGGCAATGAGAAAGACCGGCCTCAAAAATGTAAAAACAAAACAAAACAAAAAAGCTACGGGGAATGTAGCTCAGTGCTAAATACCTGCATTCAGTCCCCATAAAATAAAAAGTATGAAACACACCTTAAAATCTGTTGTATCCAAGAGAAACCTTTTCCCTTATACTTCAATGACGATCCACACCATTATTAAATCTACAAGACCAGTTTCTTAATTTTCAAATTTGCCTTACAAATGATTAAGTGGACTGATCAGTAGTAACATGAGACATATTTACAGTATGTGTTACTAGGTTCCTCTCCATTCTTCAGGTCAGTGAGCTCCGACCCACTCTCAGGCCAAGCCAGCACACAATCCTTCGATTATTGCCCTACTAAGCACAGTCTGCCCTCAGGGGAGGAGTTCACTGTTGTGGCTGCTGATTTGCCCTTCCTCCCACAAGCCCTGCTCTCCCATCCTTATGTCTCTCCTGTGTGGCTCCTAATTCAAAAGTCCCTTTCATTCCCATTCATTACGTTGCCTGTAGACCCCGAAGGTGGCGATTTAACTCTGCTTCAAGGCTTGTTCTGTACAAGGGCATCTCAATCAACATTTCAATTTTAAATTAATGTCAAGACAGTATAGGGGTGGAGATTTAGCTCAGTGGTGCTGCCACCTGCCTCGCAAGCACAAGGACCTGAGATCCCGGGTACCAAAAAAAAAAAAAGACAGTATAGGGACAACAGCAATCATTTCAGAGATGACACCACTTTCCGTTCCCACCACTGGCAATATCACACGTCCATGTCCATGCAGATTCCCCTCTTCCATGTGTTTCTCAGTTTGGATTTAACAGGCAGCCCTTTTGGAAAGTTGTCCTTAGCAAGAACCCTGTCCCCTCCCTTGATGTTGGTCACGAACTGTCTCTGGTGTCACAAACAGGTAAAAAGAAAATAAACTTTCAACAGTTTCTCAGCAAGGCAAACTTTACTTCTGTGGAAGGGTGTGCAGCCAAAGGAGAGCAAAAAGGCTGAGCAGCCACGTCTTCTCCTGATGCTCATGCTCAGTGCTGTGCCCACTCTTCAGTGGGAGTGTGGCCTCACAATCAAGACCCATTGCGGGCAGAGAAGCTGAGCCGCTCCCAGCACCCAGAAGGAAGCTCCCCCGCTGCCATCCCAAGCTCCTAGGGCAGAGAAGGTGAGCTGGTCCCAGCACCTGGAAGGAAGCTCCCCCACCACCATCCCAAGCTCCTAGGGCAGAGAAGGTGAGCCACATGGGGGCCAGACAGCCCCCGCCCCGCCCGTGGAAATGAGAAGACACATAAACAAGCCTCAAAAACAGACTTCTAGATCACCTACAGTAACCCCAAAGGGAAATGAGATGGAACAATCTGATACTCAACCACCTGGACTCTGAACTGGCAACAAAAACGGATCAGGGAAAAATGAAATCAGAAATAATTACTCAGATAACAGCAAAGATTTTGCTCATGGTGCAAGATATAATTAATAAATCTAGAGAGGACACAGATAAAAAAATTGAGGATCTGAGGAACATGATGGAATCCCAACATAGGAAACAAGTGGAATCCATAAAACAGATGCAAACAGATTTCCAAGAGATTAAAAACTCCATTGAAAGTCTGCGCAGCAGAATGAACCAATGTGAGGATAGAATTTCAGATATAGAAGAAAAGATTGCAATTAGTGACCAGGAAAAGAAAAATTGCTTTAAAATTGTAAAGGAACATGAGAAATCAATCCAGCAGCTGCTAGATGATGCAAAGAAGAATAACATAAGACTGATTGGAGTCAATGAAGAAAGAGGAGAGAGTGCAGATGACATAAAAAAACTCTTCACAGAGGTGATGGCAGAAAACTTCCCAAGGAGGGGAAAAGAACTTGACATACAGATAAGTGAGGCACATAGGACTCCAAATAGCCTTGATCAAAAAAAATCTACACATAGGCATATAATAGTTAGGATTCCAGAAATCCAACAGAAGAACAAAATTCAACAAGCAGTGAGAGAAAAGACCCACTGGCTAGTTGAATGAGGTCAAGGCTGCTATGTAGAATAAATTCTGTGATCAGAAACGCCCTTTGTTACAACATTTTATGACAAGTGGACAGGCAATGTGCCTTTTGTCTCAAGTTTTCAAAGAATGGCGAAACAAGCACATGTACATTTTACCACAATAAGGATTCTTATAAAACGGAGTTATTTGACCGGAAAGACTACCTTTTCCCACGTGGGCAATACATTAACATCTCCATTTTCCTCTGCTCCTGAACTCTCTGCAAGGCCCCCTTAACTAGTCTGGTGGCGAAGAATAGTGTATTTAGCTACCTTAGGAATAAGGCACCTAGCTAGGGAAAAGGGCCCGACACAGCCTTGGGTAACGAGCCACAAGATGAGAACGCAAGTCAGAACCGACAGTGCACTTCAGAAAGAAGACGAGAATGACCTCCGCGGGCAGCTCGGAGAGCGGCCTTCCCCACCGCGAGGAGCTGCAGCCGCGCCCTAAGCAGCTCCCCGCAGCCCCCCGGAGCTCCCCGCAGCCGGCTCCATCCCCGTCCTTCACGCCTCACCCCGATGCCGCCCCCGCCCGGCTTCGGCCCCACAACATCACCATCGCGTGGCTCCCGGTCCCGGAGTCCTTCCCATGCAGCCTGCAGCCAGCAGCAGTCACAGAAGGCGGTCTTACCCGCCGGGAGCTCTCAGCACCCCGCTCGGTACACTCGCTTGGGCGCCATGACACCGGAAATCTCACTCTTGATGGGCCCACCTGATTGGACAGATCGTACAGCCCCCCCATCGCTGATTGGCTCGTGCTGCAGGGCCCTCCCCTCTGGGCCCAGAGAGAGGAGAGAAATCAACTCCTGCCTGCGTGGGTAGCGCTCTGATGATAGACTGTAACCCAGGATCTTCTGGACTGGGCTCTTTCCCAGGATGGCAACCTCACCTCCCTAACAATAACGCACACATGTGTAAATACTGAATAGTTTCTCTAGTGTGAGAAACTGAGAGTGTAAATAAGGATTAAAAGGATTAACAACTAATAATTGATACTTTGAAATAGGAAAAAGTACAAAGGGGAAGGGGTGGTGGGAGGAGATGGGGAAAGAAGGAAAAATTATGAGAAAAGAAAAAAAATGGAAATGAAGTATGTAAATAGGGAAGGGTGAAGGGGTGAAGGGTGCACAGGGAATGGGGAAAAAATAAGAACCAAGATACATCATGAACAGGTACAAGCACCCAATGATAAATGTAAACATACTGTATACCTAAAATGTACCAATAAAAGAATTTAAGCAAACAACAACAACAACAACAACATCTTTTTTTTTATATACTGGGGATCGAACTCAGGACCTTTTGCTTGCGAGGCAGGCACAGTGCCACTGAGCTACATCCCTGGCCCCATCAATATATCTTGATAGACACAGGCCAACAACACTAGAAAAGCACAATCCTGGGTGTGTCTGTGATGATATTACCAGAGAGAACTAAAATGAGGCTCACTGATTCGAATGCAAATCATTCCCCTAGAAAAACTATTGGCACCATTTAAGGGGATTTCATATGGTAGGTTAAAAAGAAGTGGAAGGAGAAGCATCTGCATATCTGCCCCATCTTCAGCAGCTATGATTTCTGCTGGTGTTATCATCCACAATCTTCAGACTCTGCAACATCAGCTTCAGAACACGTGGATCCATCAGTGGCTCCATATGGGCTTCAACCTTCATGACTGGACTGTAGCTGAATTATTGGTTCATTTTGTTAAGGCTTCTAGCTCCTTCATTTGAGCACTCACTGATCTCCCATGCTTTCAAGCCCTCAGACACAGTGTAGAAGTAGTCATGCCCCGATTGCAGAAGAAAGTCTAAATATTCTCTTTTTATAACATGAGAACGTTGACAAAGACACACATACATACATAAGTATGATACATGTGCTCCACCAGAATTGTTCCACTGCATTACCCTTATGCTGTTCTCTCACTCAGTGGTCCCTGGATTGGCTTTGGAAGAGTTGGAAGTTTTGGAAGGCATTTTGTTGCTATTATCACATTTTAAATTGTTTTTGATGGTTACTTGTTTTTTTGTGCTGAGTTTTGTGGGTGTTTAAAGTGTAAAGACTTTGCTGCTAGTATAGAGATATCTGTAGTAACTTTCAGTAATGTACTTTGAGTGTGGCTAAGTATAGTCCCTTGTCTCTGTCCTAAGATGAAGCACCTTAGGTAATTTGGGCAGTAAAAATTCAGGGTAATTAGCCCAACACTGAGTTCTCTGGAAATGTATCCTAGTATTGTTAATGTCATAAATGTAATCACAGTATTGGTTTACATAGAAATCCCATTAATATCAACATTTATGCTACCTTAGTAATGTCACCCAAATTAACTAATGTAGTGTCATTCAAGACAAAGTGCATATTAAGATACCACAGGAACCTTTTATATACCTATTAACCCTAGAGAAAAAAATCCACAATTATAGCATTAACATCAAGACAAACCCAGGTATTGATAAACAGCTAATATGAACTAAATGTGACAGCTATATCTCTGCTAATGTTACAAAAGAATTCAACAGTAATTTCGCAGATTGAACGATCTGAAAACCAATAAAGCTTTATAGTTATACTTTAAAAGATATAGGGGGTTGGGCTGGGGATTTAGCTCAGTGGTTCTGCCGCCTGTCTCGCAAGTGCAAGGACCCAACTTTGATCCCTGGTACCAAAAAAAAGTTAAACAAAGATATAGGGGCTTAAGAAGAGGGGAATTCAAGAAGACAAATTGGAAATCTTAAACTAGATAATATGAGAGGGAGGTGGGGCAAAGGTTTCTCATGGCAGCAGAGGGATGTTTGTACAATGAGTAAAAGCGGAAAGAGTACCGAAAAGTAAACTAAAAAAAGAAAGAAAAATGAAATTATAATAATTAAAAAAGACAAAAAATTCAAGGGAAAAAATTAAAAGGGAGAGGAACCCCCCCCCCCGAAAAAACCGTGTAAGAGATAGAAAAAGAACAAAACAAGTTTCAGTAAAACATATAAGCTGGAGGAGAAGAAAAATGAAAGAAAACCACACCTGCTTGTTAAAAAAAAAAGAGAAAGAAATGGAATAAAGAAAGGGGAAGAAAGAATTATTTTTTATTTTTAATGTGTGGGTTTCTTCCAGGATCTACTTTGGGGGTGTCCAAGTCCAGACATGTCCCTGCTCATGCTGGTACCTAAAGATGGAGTCAGAATCCAGATCTGTGCTGGATGCCAGCATCAGCAGAAGCATGCCACTGCCATGACTTTCCAATCAGGAGTAAGTCAGGCTGCACCTGGGATATGGCCGCAGGAGTGTGTCCTAGGTCCTTTAGCTCAGGGGCCTCTTCGGGTCTCTTTACAGCCTGCTGTCTGACTGAAGCCATCTCCAGTGGTTGTTTCTGAGGCATTTCCTGTGAGAAGGTAACAAATGGATCTATGGAGAGGAGCCCTGTGGCTATGCTGGGTCCTGACTTCTAACAGTCAACCCTTCCCTGGGATGGTATCTGGTCCACTGACATCTCCAAGGCTGTGGTAGGCACTCGGACTGGAGTCAGCAGCTGTTGTGTGTCGAACAACTCACTGGGTGCAGAGTTGCACACTATCTCTGCAGGCCACAGCAATGGTCAATCAAGTCTGCTCAACTACATTTCTCCTTGTGGTAGCATTCACTCTGCTCCTGTAGGCCATGAGCCACCATGAGTCTTGAGCTGCCACAGGCCAGAGAAAGTGCAGATGGCCTCTTTCCTTCTGTCCTTTGGGCTGTTTCTTCAATTTTTCTGTGCATTTTAATGTTCCTGTCAGACCCCTCTTGGTTCACAGGGATCTACTTCTCTCTTCGATGCTTCTCCAAGTTGATGTTTTCCAGAGTTTGGGTTCTGAATCTCAGAGAGGTTGAGTTGATGTCTCTCATTACTCCATCATTTTCCCCATCCTGTCTGATATATTTTAATATTATGGTCATTAGGTACATTCATGTTGCTATAAATGACTCAAATTTTTTCTTTGTGGCAGAGTACTCCACTGTGGATAATTGTAATTTTTTACCCATTTGTTTGTTGTCTTCATTTTCTATATTTATGCCTTTTATTTTTATTAAGTTTATTGGTACATTTTAGGTATAAAATATGATGACATTCATCATTGGGAATTTGTATCTTTGCATGATATATCTTGGTTCTAACTTTTTTCCCTATTCCCCTGCCCTCCCAGAGGTCTGCCTTTTATTTTATCTTCCCTGATTGTTCTGGATAGTTTTGGGCAATATATTAAAGGGGAGTTTTTTTTGTTTGTTTTGTTTTTTTTGGTACCAGGGATCAAACTCGGGTCCTTGTGCTTGCGCAGCAGGTGGCGAAAACACTGAGCTAAATCCCTGGCCCCTAAAGGGGAGTTTTCATGGTGAACATCTTTCTCTTTTTTCTAATTTTTAGAAAAAGCTTTTAGTTTTTTCTCATTTAATGTGATGCTGCCCATAAACTTTTCAGAAGTCTTTATCACAATGAAATAAGGTTTATTCTTGAAGTGTCCCTGAAGTTTTTTTTTTAATCATGAATATTGTATTTTGTCAAAGGCTTTTTCTGCATCTATTCAGATGATTGTGTAATGTTTTGTTAGTCTCAAATTTATTAATTCTGCTTTGATCTTTATAATTTCCTTCCATGGACTATCTTTGTATTTGAGGTATGCTTGTTTTTCTACAATCTTTTTTTGTTTTTTTTGGTAATAGGGATTGAACTCAGGTCCTTGCATTTGTGAGGCAGGTGGCAGAACCACTGAACTAAATCCCTGGCCCTTTCTACAATCTTGATGGGCATGATGAGGTTATTTATGTGGACTCACTGGGTTTTTCTGATGTGAACATTCAGAACCACAAACTGGTCACCCAGCCTGGTGTATTCATTCCATTAGGGTTTTTGGCATTGACTCCAATGTCTCTAAGATACACAAAAACATGAATCATATGCAACACATGTGAATTTCATGTCTGTGACATGGAGAGGAGCCATGCCAACATGTGCCCATCACCATGGGAGAAATGATCACTATGAGGTTTGAGGCTTTGGTGAAGATCAGTGTCCTCTGTGCTTAAATTTTATTGTAAGCAAAAACTTGGGAGAACAGAAATAGTGGTTGAAATGCATTAGCAACCATTGATGCAATCATATAAGTAGTGAATAAATCATAATACAAAACTGAAGAAATAAACTAAGCACAGATTATTATTGTTGTTTATTGAAAGACCCTAGTTAGCAAGACAGACTCCATATTGCTGCTTGACCCACCTGCCTGCCCTTTAGATGAACTCAGAAGGAGGGAGCTTGAAAACCTCCTCCCCTTGGAAAGTCTCTTTAGAAATAACAATCAACTATTGTTTTACAAATGTTCTAACAGCAGGACGTTCCACTTCTGTACCTTTTGCTTGCTTTACTAGTTCTATCCCATAGGGGGGCCTAGGAACTGTTGGCCTCAAAGGTGTATAAAATATGTTTGTCAACCCCCAGTCGAGGCTCCAGTCTGATGCTCAGCTCGGGTCCGGGCTGGTAATAAACTCCTGTGTGGATTTAATATCAGTCTCTGGTTGGTTCTCTCTCACTGGGTACAACATTTATTAAAACACAGGCCTTGTTTTTTCTTTTAGTTTTTGAGACAGGGTCTTGCTATAGTTCAGCCTGCCCTCAAACTCACTATGTAATCCAGGCCGGTCTTTAAGTCATGACAATCCTCCTGCCTCAGGGTCCTATGTGCTAGGATTACAGCTTGTGCCATCATCTCAGGCAGATAAAAAAGAGGGTTTACTCAAAAATATTAATGCACTGAGCTACGTTTGCAGCTTTTCACATTTTATTTAGAGACAAGGTGCATAGGGTGGTAGTGATCACGCGATTCACCTATGCTTTTTTTTTAACCTATGCTTTTTGAGTGGATAGGATTACAGACATAAACCACCAGTACCAACAAGATTTTTTGATGCTCAGATGGTAGCAAATATGCTCAGGATAAAATGTCCTGTTTTCACATTTCCTCTGGCTGCAATAGCAGTATACACTATGCAATGTCATGATGATGATACCAATTAGAAATGAGCTGCAGTGAAATTAGCTGCATGTTCAAGCATGTGAAAACTAATACTGCAATGTAGTACATTTCATGAAGTACATGAGACATTTAGTATTTTATTATAAAATAGACATAATTTTTGCCAGGCATGGTAGTGCATGCCTGTTATCCCAGCACTCAGGAGGCTGAGACAGAAGGATTGTCATGAGTTCGAGGCCAGCCTGGGCTACATAGTGAATTCAAGGCCAGCCTGAACTACATGGTGAGACCCTGTTTCAAAAAATCTGAAGAGGGCTGGGGATTTAGCTCAGTGGTTTCACCACCTGCCTTGAAAGCGCAAGGTCCTGAGGTCGATTCCCAGTACCCAAAAACAAAACAAAACAAAGAAAACAAAAAACAAAAAGAAATAAATGGATAAATAAAATGGACATAGGTTTTGATAATACTGTCCATTTTATGACAAATTTAATTGTCTAAGCATAATTAACTTAGGTTAGGATGAGGTACACTGTTCACAATATTAGGGCTATTTAATAATTTGTCACTTATATTTGGACCTTGGATTATTGGAATGCAATCCCATGATAAATTGAGGAGTTACTGAACTAAGAACAAAACAAATACTCCAGAATACTTTACAAAGCACTGTAGAAGTAGGGAATAAGGCAAAATGTCAAGGATGCCAGGTGGTCTCACTCTGACAGCTTGCACAAGTCTTATGTGGTGGAAGTGGTATCTCCTTCAATTATCACACAGTGGTACTTACTGATGATGACAAAAGCCAGTATAAATTTCTCTCTAAAGTTGATAAAACAGAACACAAATGACTCATAGTAATTATTCAATTTCTTTTTTAACTGAATTGAGCTTCTCATGTTAAAAATAGTACTGATTTCCAAAGCACAAATGTTATTCACAGCATCAAAAAATAGAATAAAGGACTCTGCTTATTTATAAATAAGAAATCATTCTGTCAAAAACCCCTTCAACCCTGTTACAAATTTCTGTGAGAATGGCCAGGGACTTATCTCAGTGGGACCATGCCTGCCCTGCAAGCACAAGGTCCTGAGTTCCATCCTTGGTACAACAAGAAAAAATTCCTATGAGAATGTTCTTGCTGTCAAATCATATCACCTTTTATAGTTTATGGAGAGATTAATTATAATTCACTATATCTTTTTTGAGAAAAATGTCCTGCTAGTCTCTGGCAATGGGGACGCACAGAAGTGTAGTTTTTTTTGCATGGTAGATTAAAAACTTACTACCAAAATAAATCATAGCAATATGAGCATGAAAAGTAAAATTTAATGGTGTTTACACAACTAAAATTTTACACACCTAATAATGGCTCTGGTAAAGTGAAATAAACAGGCAAAGTTATGCACTGCATATAATTTATGATTATGTTGGGATATATATGGATATCTTCTAAGAATATTAAAAACAAATTTGCTAATATGTTTGACAACAGAAAAACTCAAACAAATGTACATAAATTTTTAGAAATATAAAATATAACATCCTATTTAAAATTTGTTAGAAAAATGAGCTATAAAAAAGGAAAAGAAAAATGGGTTATATGCACCAAAAATTAAATACAAGCTAGTGGAAAAATTACAATTAAGAAAAATTCAGTTTAGGGGTCATATGACTCCACAATTATTTAAAAAAACAAAAGAAAACAAGGAAACAAAAATAACTGACAAAATATTGAGCCTCCTGACACATACGAATGCAAGTCAATTCACCTGTGGATCTAACAGTGCAAAATAGAGAAAATAAATATCATCAAATTTAAGAGACAATATTAAACTCCCATGTTATTGCTTAAAAGAATGTACAGAATTATGTGAGCCCATTTATTGTTAATGAATTTTAAATTATTTAATACAGGGATCTACTTTAAGACTCAATTTACAATATTTATACTTTAGCATATCTCCTCTGGTTGTGTATTTTCTAGAGAAATAACTGACATTTCATTTTTAATCAACTTTTAGTTTTATACTACATGAGAAGTGATTAAAGGATTTTGAAAATGAGTTGTAACTGAGAATTTGTACATTCATAGGGGTTTGATACATATTCATTCTTACATGCAGGACACCTGAATTTGTGTACATCCCTTATATTAATGTTTTTGCACAATGCTATGTTCGCAATATGAATTAAACCAAAATGACTACAGGTGTTTCTGCATGATATACATTGACGTGAATTTCTCCTCTGTGCAATGTTTCATCAAAAGTCATGTAAAAGGAAGACTTTTCATGTCCTGTATTTATACTACTGCTCACTATGAGTTTGTACCTGTTTTCTTATGTTATGGGAATCACACAATGCTTTCTCACATTATTTACATGGGGCTTGTCTTTAGTGGGAGTTCTTTCATGCATTTCAAATATAAATATATATATATATATATATATGTATGTATATGTATATATTTTCCCTTTCATGTGATTTCTTTCATGTATTTGAATTGAGAAAAAAAACCTTTCTCATATTCCCCACATATGTGCAGACTCTTCACTATGAATTCTTTCATGTATGTAATAATACCTGTGAGGACTGTAAGAGGTTTTATACTGTTTACAAGAAAAGGCTTCTCTTTAGGCTGACTGCTCTCAGCATAAGACACTTTGTATATTCAGTTAATTTCCTCTTACTTTCTAATGTGTTCAATGCTTTCTGCAGTAAGAGGCTTTTCCATATTGTTTATGCATAACAATATCACTCCCAAGTATAATTTATTTCATGTATTTGACAGTACATCTGTGTATTGGACATGTTTTCACATGGCTTATATAGGTAGCACTGCCATAGTGTGTTGTTTCATGTACTTGACAATGAAGGTATGTCCTGAAGGCTTTCCCACACAGCTTATGTGCATGGGTTTTCTCCCATTATGATTTCTTTCATGCCTTTGACAAACACCACTTGTGCTGAAAGCTTTACCACACTGCTTACATACATAGGGTTTCTCCCCAGTATGATTTCTTTCATGCCTTTGACAACTACCATGTGTGCTGAAAGCTTTCCCGCATTGCTTACAGACATAAGGTTTCTCCCCAGTGTGACTTCTTTCATGTATTCGACAACTACCATGTGTGCTGAATGCTTTCTCACATTGCTTACAGACATAGGGTTTCTCCCCAGTATGACTTCTTTCATGCCTTTGACAACTAC